GGGAAACACGAGACGTAGTCGAGTGTTTCTTCTTCTTCTTTCGTGCTCTAACGTGTTCTAAGTGCTTTGCCACAGAACAGACACAGTCGTGGCTTCTTTATTTGTTTTATGAAGAAGAAGCCATTAATTTTCGCGCGCAATCAGCTAATATTTTCAAATCAAACTTTGGTCGCTTTCTATTCAACCAAAACTTCAAAATTTTCAAAATGGAACTTTCTTGAGAACTTTTCCAGAAAATCCGGTAATTTTCAATTTTCAACCGGAAACTCTGGAAAGCAATTTCGAAATTTGGAGGAGGAGGTTGTCCTCGTTTTCGTAAATTTTGTAAATTCGCATCTCACCTCAGTTGGGCATCTCACGCAAAGATGACGGCGACGTGTATTGGAAAATGGGTTAACATTTTACTTCGGAATCTTGCCACTTGTCTGTCGATATATACTAGTTACAGCTAAATTTGTCAAGAAAGCGTTTAATTCCAGTAAAAAAGTATGTCCCCGTTGTGTACCTGTTTGTTTTTCGTTCTGTTTTGCAAAGGTTGACCAAGAAATGTATGAAGATTTAAAACAAAGATTTATAGAGTGCAGACCCATTTTAAGTCAACCTCAATCCTGTCTACAGTTGTTCAAATAACGTGATTGGCTGACCAGACAACAGCTGTCAATCACAAACTGGACTTGAGCTAAACTTTCGGTTTCGAGCGGCTTTCGAGAGATGAACGATCGCTTCAAAGTTCGCTTTTTAGTTTAACCTAAAAATAAGGATCTAAATTTTCTTATCCAGTGGAATCCGGCAGCATTGTGGCTCTTGAAAACGTGCACTTTTGCAATGGAAATTTCGAAACAAAGAGTTCAAAGCTTACGACTAAACTGCTCCCACTGGTTCTACTTCGACTACAAGAGAGAATATCAGAGACAGCTTTCAACTAATCACTCGCCGGGCGAGCACTGTAATTGTTGAGGTTCATTTTACTTAAAAGCTTCTCATCAAAAATACAGACAGCTCAATTGGTGTTTTATGTCATTGTTTTGCATGCATAGTATAATTTCTTCCTTCGTAATAAATGTAGTGCCTTTTCCAATGGATTGAAAATTTGTTTATCTTACTAAGTGATTACCATATTGTCGGAATCTATCAAAACTAGTAATTTTAGTACGGTTTTAACACTGCTAGTACGGTTGTTAACAATGGCCTCTATGAAGCTAGGAGGGCATTCAAGCCACGAGAAATGAATAAAGGGAAGCATCTAAAATAAAAGAAATTCTTTGAAAAACTATCTTCAGTTTACAAGCGAAAAATGACAGGAAGGAGTGCCACTTTCTTGAAATACGTCTCTTTTAAATGCTTGTCAATGATATTTCAAGATAGGTGATTTATTGCATTGAAATGGCCGTGCCTTATTTGAATACGGAGCTTTTCTTTCGGTTTTACGTTTGTAAGGAGGCATAGTTACGTGCAACATTTTCTTTATGACTTTATGAATTTTATCGTCTTGAAAAGCATTGCCAATACGAGAATCTCGGCCAAGATATATAACCGGTGACTGCAAGCACTGACTCAAGATCGGGAAATACAGTGTACAGTTATAGGCTATCTACTTGAGCTACTTTTTTTGCCAGTTTCATACCAATGTGGCATTTTTTAAAGCACAGACAAGCAGTACCTGATTGCAACACTCTTATTTTCAGTCACANGGCTATCTACTTGAGCTACTTTTTTTGCCAGTTTCATACCAATGTGGCATTTTTTAAAGCACAGACAAGCAGTACCTGATTGCAACACTCTTATTTTCAGTCACAAAATAAAACAAAGGCCAATGAAAGCTAATGAGGTTTAAAGTAAGTTTATTACCCACATTTAAAGAGCTTACAAGCATTTAGCGCTTTAAACGGTATAACTGATAACGCTTCCTTAAAGCCAAAGTTATTTTACTACAACAGCATCTTTATCAATTCCCTATACTGCTCTGTTATCACATTTCGCAACCGGTTGAATATAATGAAATTTGCCTCAGGCACAGGTGATGTCACCTTTCAGATCATCAAAGTTGATGTGACCCCACGAACCAGAGCTGTTGTCGACCAGTCGGATTTGTGCCTTTTGACCATAGAACTCTATGACATCCCAGGTCACCCTTTCCATTGTCTCGGTGCACTTACCGGTCACAGTCTTCTCCACCTGGAAAGTGAGAGTAAATCTATTAGAAATGCAATGAAACTTATTCTGTCATTAATGGGCATCGTTAAACCAGAAAGAGGAAATATTCCTGAACCTCCGGGAACATGCCGGAACACTAAAAATATAACACGGAAAAAAAAATGGATGAAAAATTGAGTCAAAAAAAGTAATTTAGGTTATTATCCATTGAGCCACGGTTTGATTGCATAGATCTTAGCTAAAGAGGAACTCCCTCTTGCTTGCGGTTAGTTCTTCTCTGGTTCTCTAGCGTTTAGCTTAGAATTTGTTGGAAAGGCCAACACAGTATGTGCATAAAGCTATATATTTCATTTATAGTTTAGATATTTTTGTGTCCCGGTATGTCTTATGTTCCTGGCAGAAGCAACACGTACGCAAAAGACGATTCCATCTAATCATGCCTGGCAAGAAAATAAAAATAAAAACCTGGAAACGAGAAAATATGTTTAACTGAAGTTTGAAAGGGGGTCAATTATGAACAAAAAAGAAATTAATTTATGTGACAATTTGAATTCCTGTCTTTTGAAAACAAAATTTGATGCCTAATTATTTATTTAGAGGCGTGGTATCTTAACTTTTCCTGACACGTTAGTGTGCTGAACTACTGTTGGAGCTGACCGTATGCGGACCCTGCTCGGTATTATGCTGCTGTGTTATTTGGCAAGACACGTAACTCTAACAGTGCCTCTTTCCACCCAGGAGTAAAACGGGTAGCAGCGATCAAGTTGTTGGGCAACCTAACAGAATGCTGAGGTGTTCTCTGCGATGGACTAGCATCCCATCCAGGGGGAGCAGCAATACTCTTAGCTGCCTCATGCAACTGACTTAAAAGGCTCTACCATCGTTATTTCTTACCTTGCCTTCAATAATCAACTCTGCGCGAACCAGGTTGACATCACAGCCTCCTCCAATCAGGAATGTGACGTATTTGCCCGTTATTGTAAAGGTTGTGGAAGTGAGAGTTCCTTGGGGTTTGTCTCCCTGAATTGCTCCGGCTATGTCATCCGGAGTGTGCCTGTCTTCAAATCCTCCAATCCAGTAGTCTCCTTGTTGA